CAGGATCCACGTCCGGAAGAAGTTGGCTTCGTAGGCCAAGTCTTCCATGAATGTGAGGTTGCTGCGACGATTCTCTTCATCGGCTCGACGACCAAGAGATGGCATCATCCAGTCAACAAGGTCATTATCATAGGCCACTTTGACCGAAAGATCGTCTGCATAGACGGGCTTCGGCAACCTTCGTCGAATCAGGCGATAGAGCCTGATCTCGACGACTGGGCGTAGGTACACATATATGTAAACAAGAAGCGAGGGTGTTCTTAGGGCATTTGTCAAAAACCCGGTCATAGAACGAAGCGAAAGGTCATTTGGTAGCATGGGAAGTTGCATCGAAGCATGTTCACCGAAAGGCAGCAGAGCCCTTAACCCTACTAGAGAGTAAGGATGAACGAGGTGAAGTGACTGTAACAAGGAGTACATGTAAGTTTGAATAGCCAGGACAAGTAGGCTTCCTCGAGTTCTGCATGCACTTTTAGCTAGTGAAAATGGCCAGACCGCACAAGGTACTCACGCCGACTGTAATATGTTCAGAGTAGCTCGTACAAGCCTTGACAGCACGTTATCGTTTGGGAAGAGATCTTGGCAGGTCGCAATCAAGCGATCCAGCGGATGATGTCGAAGAAAGGATAAGCATGTTGAGACTGCCCAGGCTGGAATACCCGCGAAATAGAACCCCATTATTCCGTGCCTCGTACGCTCTAGATGTATCATACTGAGCAAGGGAACATGCGTGTAACTTTTGAAAGTCTGGGCAAGTGGTCAGGTCGACGTTGTCCATATTTTCGTCTAGGCGCAGGTTCAGAGAAAGTTACCAGTATCCGACCCATTAGGGAGGAAGTCCACCAGGAGCCAAGAAAGACTGAGATCTGGTCTAGGGTAGCCATGACCAAGCCATAGTCATTCTCAGCCGCGATCATGTCAATCTTCTGTTGTTCAGTAGGGCCGCCCATGTTGCCCTCTTCACTGACAACGATTCCCATCGTGGATAGGACGTCATTCTTGGCTCTTCTTAGCTCTCTGCCAAAAGACTTGGACTCTGGATTAATGGGATGGCCCCTCTCATCATAATGCTGGACATAGTTATCCGCATGCAGAGCCGATACTCTCCTGTGAGAAGCAGGTTCATGGTTTGCTGCGGAGCCTGCGGAACGATCAGGAGCCTCGTAGGGTGACCGCCCCTGATGAAGTGTTAATAGTATGTTCAGGTAGGGATCTGGGGAAGAGTGAGGTATGAGAGCGCCAAGCAAGAGATTCAGAGGGTAAATAGGTGTGTAGACAGGCAGTTGAAGGGCAGAAAGAGGTTAAGTTTGAGATCACATATGATGCCACCACCGTGATTGCTCTGCATCAAGAACATGATTATAGCGATGAGAGTATTTCTCACGATGAATAATGAACCATCACAGAGGCTGCTCATGTGGGGTTACAGCTCTGTGTACTGTATATGGAAACGGAACAAGAAGGTGGAGCATACCAAAGCCAGCCGATTCAGGTACGCTCGGCGCCCCATCGCGTGAGCACCTTATGAGTGTTAGCCCTGAAAGATCTGCGAAGCCATTCTCTACAGACAGAATAAAGTCAAGTGCCGTATGGTTTGCCCAAGATGATGGACGGTTTGGGTGGTCTTGAATGATGTATGGTCGATGGGCGGAAGATGACTATCATTCCCAGAAAGGAAAGCGGCAGACACGTGGGCGGCAAGAGGCGGCTCCAGCGCTTATCATTTGGGCTAGCGGGGATCGGGGCCCACAGGCAAGGAAGACAAACAAGGCAAACATCTCGAAAAAAGATCAGAAGTTTCCGGTGCGACGGCGAGTTGAGCGGCGTGCAGCAACCGCAGAACATCTTGTTGACGTGGATCCTGTTGGATCTAGCATGGCGCGATAGATTTCTCGGCTTACAATCGCTGAATATTTTCACATACCATGTCTAAAGCCGTGGTGAAGACGACCTTCGAGGCGTCTCGCACACTTCGTCCTATCTACACCGGAGGAAGCACTGCGCTCGATGCCAGTGGTCGTTTCCTGGTGACATGCATCAGTGAAGATGCCCTCGTCATTGACCTGGAGACTGGAGACCAGGTCGCTAGTCTGGAAGGCGTAAGTAATCTCTCTACATCACCGCTGTGCTTGCAAACCGCTTATGTGGACATATTTAGGATGGCGAAATTATCACAAGCTTAGCTAGTATGCAACCCTCTGGCCCCGAGTGATTTATTGTTCGGTTCTTCCTAACTGTGCTTAGTCTCCCCGTCGGCCTCGCATGTCGTTATGTGCTCGCGGTCCATGTCCATGCGAATCTACTCTCTGTCACCTCTCGACGAGTCCACACGTACGATCGATGCGAAATTAGCCAGAAGTCTCAAGCCCCACACAGCACCTGTCGTGACCACTGCAATCGATCCTACTGGTACTTTACTGGCGACTGGCGCCGCGGATGGCTCGATTAAGGTCTGGGATATTCGGGGCGGTTACATCACACATACCTTCCATGGCCATGGAGGTGTCATCTCAGCCCTGTGCTTCTTCCAAGCGCCGGACTTTCCGAACAAATCGTCCTCGAGTAAGAGGAAGAACAAGAATCAATCGCACGACTCAGATGAAGACGAGACCGCAGAGGATTCAACGGGAGTTTTTCGGCTTGCCTCCGGAGATGAGGAGGGTAAGGTTTGCGTGTGGGATTTGAACAAGAGGAAGCCTATCGCGTCGCTCGAGTCTCATGTTTCGGTTGTGCGCAGCCTCTCATATTCACCATCGGAGAATGCCTTGCTTTCGGCTAGCCGTGATAAGACTGTGATTGTGTGGGACATGCGGACATTCAAGACGCGGAGGATCATTCCGGTCCTCGAAAGTGTGGAGGCTTCCTGCTTTGTCGCTGATAGTGGTTTGTGTCTGGTCGCCGGTGAAAATGGTCGCTTGCGTGTGTGGGACTGCAATCGTGGAGGCGAGGTCACTGCGGAACAAGAACCTGCCTCTGAATATGAGGCTATTGTGGCGATTCAATATTCTCCTGGCATGTCATCTGCATTGACAGTTCATGCCGACCAGACCATCCGGTTCTATTCTCTGGAGCCTTTATCCAACTACAAGTCAGGGACCATAATCGATCCCTTGCCGATCATCCGGCGCATCTCGGGCAACGACGACGATATTATCGATCTCGCATATGTCGGCCCTGACCGTTCAATGCTGGCACTCGCTACGAACACCGAAAGCATCCGCATTGTATCAGTTGGACCATCCGAAGACAGGCCATCCGCCAATAAAGAAGGATACTTTGGTGCTGATATCACACACCTCGAGGGCCATGACGACATTATCATCTGCCTTGATGTAGACTGGTCTGGTCACTGGCTGGTCACTGGTGCAAAGGATAACACCGCACGTCTCTGGCGCCTCGACCCCCAATCTTCATCTTATACGTGCTTTGCAGTCTTCACCGGTCATGCCGAGTCATTGGGAGCTATTAGTTTCCCCCGAGTCTCACCCCCCGCCAACACCCCTGCCTACAATGATCCTCTGAACCATCCTCCTGCTTTCTTGCTTACGGGTTCTCAAGATAGGACCATCAAGCGTTGGGATATCGGAAAATTGCCTCCGCTGAGCTCTTCCAAGCCCCATCATCCCAAGGCTGTCTTCACCCGGAAAGCACACGAAAAAGATATCAATGCTTTGGACGTCAACCCCTCAGCGACGCTGTTCGCATCTGCCTCCCAAGATCGTACTGTCAAGATCTGGTCGACCGAGGATGGCACAACGGTGGGTATCCTGCGCGGACACAAGCGAGGTGTCTGGTCGGCGCGTTTTGCCCCTCGCGGCACCCCTATCCTCAACTCCGACAGCGGCACTAGCACCAACAGAGGCTTGATCGCTACAGGCTCGGGTGACAAAACCATCAAGATCTGGAGTCTGGCAGACTACAGTTGTCTCCTCACCTTCGAAGGCCACACGAACAGTGTGCTTAAGGTAATCTGGCTTCCGCCGTCGGAGCTGTCCCACCAGGAAGAGAACGAGGACGAGGAAGAAGAATCTGCGCTGGCACCCAACGCGGCCGCCGCACAACTGCGACCTTTGGTGGCCTCGGCTGCGGCCGATGGTTTGGTCAAGATCTGGTCCCCTTACTCAGGCGAGCTGGAGACTACTCTAGACAACCACGAGGATCGCGTGTGGGCGCTCGCCAGCCCGACTCCCTCCGGCTCCCGCGAAGATGTTGCGTCCCCTACCACACTCAAAACCTCTTCCCCCTATGGCCTTGTCTCCGGCTCCGCCGACTCCACAGTGACATTTTGGACTGATACCACTTCTGCCACTTACACGGCCGCGGTGAACGCCAACTCGGCTCGTATCGAACAGGATCAGCAGCTACAGAACTACATCCGGGCCGGTGCTTATCGCGAAGCCATCACACTTGCGCTTCAGCTGAACCACCCCGGTCGTCTCCTCTCCCTCTTCACTTCCGCCATCGACGCCGCCGATGACCCGAACTCGAACGAGGCCAAGGGCATCGAGAATGAGAACAGTCTTACTGGCAACGCCTCGATTGACGAGGTCCTCCAAACCCTCGACCCCGACAACCTCCGCACCCTTCTTCTCCGCGTCCGTGATTGGAACACGAATGCACGCACATCCAGAGTGGCGCAACGCATTCTGTTCGCCCTTTTCCGGTCCTACCCCGCCTCAACATTCGTTGAGCTTGCATCCGGCAAGGCAAAGCGACGCAGCGACAGCCGCGCTAGTGCAGGATTGAAGGAAATCCTCCAGGCTCTGGCTGCCTACACGGACCGCCACTACCGGCGGATTGAGGAACTTACCGACGAGAGCTATCTCGTGGAGTGGGTGCTAGCAGAGATGGATGGCGGCGTAGGATTGGGTGGATTGGGCGCCGCGAGTACGTACGACTTCTTCGCCGGCTCTTTGGAGGAGGAGAAATCAAACGAGTCCGAGAAGGATGTTGCCATGCTGGAGTCGTGAATACGCAGGATCACGGAATCCCCGGTCATGAATGAGAAACATGTATAGATAGACAAAAGATAATCTGCTTTGGAATTCTTTGTGATACACTGGCGCTATGAGCGGAGTCCTTGCTGTCTTGCTCAATGATTCTTTCTTGGGAGGGAAAATCGGCGATGTAAAAAGTTATGTTCGTTTAGGTGATAATGCGACATCTTCAAAGAAAGAGAGGCTATCCATGACTATACACGTAAGATCGGCCCTAAAACACCTTTTACCGGTCGTCATACCTTTCGTCTCCGATGCGAGTCGCGGTCACTGTCGCGGTCTCGATCGCGATCGCGATGTCTGCTTGAAGTATTCGACGAGGAGTATCTCGAACTGTAGCGGTCGTCGTCGCGAGATCGGTGGCTCCTGTCGCGGTCTCTGTCGCGGTCCCTGTTCCTATCGCTGTCTCTGTCTCTATCGCGGTCCCTGTTCCTGTCGCTGTCCCGGTCCCGGCGAGAGTCACGATCTCTGTCTCTGTCTCTCTCTCGGTAATAGCGATCATCACGGCTATCACTGCCATCATCCTCATATCTGCGTCTTCTCGAATGCTGATCACTCGACGACCGACTCCGATCCCTCCTTGACGATCCGTTCTTGCGCTTGTCCTCATCGTGATCCCTCCGCCGGGAGTCGCGATCACTCTCCCTCGGACGGTCACGGTCATCCCGATCGCGCCTGCTGCTCCTTTCCAGGTTGCGATCGCGCCGTGCCTTCCACTCATCATCATCGGTCTGTTTCTTCGCCTCCTTCTTCATGGTCGACAGTTCCTCCTCGGTGATAAAATCGCCCGTCTTCGTATTCCGCATCATAACAGGCATGTAGACACCCTCGGTATTCGTCCCTCCTTCCTGCCCGGCCTTCCTCGACCCTTTGCGCATGGCCGCCTTTCCCCACGCGCCCAGCTCCGCCTCTGCGCCTTTGCCCCCGGAAACATCCTTGGCTCCAATCCCTAGAAACCCCGGCCTTCGCTCCGGAACCCGCGCTTTATTGCCCTGAGGCGCAGAAGCACCCCCATATTTCCCCTTGCCGACAGCCTGCCCTTCCTTCCAGCCCATTCCCCGCAACAGCGCCGCGCCGAACTCCTCCACGGGGATCGCATTATACTGGTCCAGCGTCGCCGACTCCGGCCGCGAGGCAATATCCGCGCGGAACGAACTCGTCTCGCCGAATTCTCCACCACCACCATCGGGGGCAGCAGCGGTCTCGATCACCAGATCCGACCGACCCCCTTCCGCAGTCTCGCCTTTGCTCTCCCGGATAAGCGCCTGTAACGCGATCTCATCTTGCGTCATGGGCGCCCTAGTTTTCTCCTCATCCGCCGCTTTTTGAGGCCCAACATCCTCCATATTCATATCCCTGTCCCCATCTTGATCCTGTTCCTTCGCCGCCGCCGCAAAACTCAGCCCATAGGCCATACTCGGCCCCTCCGTCTCGACCGTCGCCCCAGCAACCTGCCCGCGCCTCTGCGCCTCCTGGATAGCCTGGACCTCCTTCGGCAGCAGGTTCTTCGTCCCCCGCTGCTGCTGTAGCGCTCCTCGACGACTGATCCCCGGCCGGTCCCGCCAATTATTGTTGCTCGTGACGGGGATCACCAGCGGCTGGTTCGCGGCGGCGTCGGCGGCGGAGATGGCGGTGCCCGTGACCGTGTCGAAGCCTGTGACTTCTTCATGGGCGGGAGCAGCAGCGCGGCTGGCTTCTTCGTCCGAGTCGTCGTCATTGTGCAGTGGCCGAGGTGTTGGGCGACCGCCGCGCGCGGCGAGAGGAAGGGAGCGCGTACTTGCCGTAGCAGAATCGGTGGGCTTGGTGGATTTGAGGTTGAAGGTGGTGGGTTTCTTGGGGGGATTGCCGCTGTTGTCGCCATTGAGACCTCCTTTGTTGCCCACGGAGATGGAGAAGGGCTTTGTTGTGCTACCGCTTTGCGGAGGATCTGAGGAGGACATGATGCTTGCCCTTTATACTCCCTGTTTTGAGAAGTGGGGGGTAAAGAGTTCAAAGAAGCTGTGAGTGTTTTGAGTAGCACTGTGTTCGTGGTATCTGGGATGGATGCAAGAGCTACCATTCACTCCATTTGAGGTAGAAATTCAATTGGCGCTGTATCAGACCGAGACCTAGCTGTGGTCCCTCTAAAATCTGAATTAGGATTGTCTGAAGAGTTAGTTTCAATATGTGTGTCGGGCAAGATTTAGTGTTGCGAAAGCTCACTTGCGTAATATGCAGGGCAGAGGCGGTGGCAAAATCGGAGGCTCGGGGCTAGACACGCGCTTACATGGTTCTACATCGTCAATCCGTAGGGACCCTTTCGTGAGTGAACCAGACCAGATCTTACAGCAATCCCCAGAAGGGAAAGATTTACACATGTTACATCAACAAGCTGAGCAGTAATCGTACAATCGTGGTTCATTATTTCTTTTTGAGCCCATCCATTCCAACTGGCCTTCCAAGTTATACCCTCGGCGCCCCCTTTTGTATCCGTCCTATCAATACATGTAGTACAAAAGCGCAGAGAAATATAGATGATGCAGTAAGGCCCCCGGAACGAAGTTAAGAGACATCCTTCCAACAAAAAAAAATGGAGCTCAGGCCGTAAATTAACGGCGAAAATTGTGAAAGAAAGGGAAGGGGGAGGAGGAAAAGAAGAGGGTAACACGCAGGAAGGGAAGCTGAAGCTGAGAGGGTAACGTTGAGAATCGAGGGTCAAAGAAGTGAGAGAGCTTTATCCGAGGGTAGGAGCTGTGCCGCTAGAAATCTGGTTTCATAAGAGGCGTGGCATGGTCCAAGGCGTAACATGCAAGCGTGGAATAAAAGGTAGTAAGGTGGGGGGGGATGAATATGTACAGTGAAAGGATAAGAAAGAGGCATCAGAGGTCGATCAAGGTGTCTAATCCGTTCGGAGGAGTTCAGCTAGTCGCTGTCTGTGCTTGAGGAGGGTTGGGACTCTTGTTTGTTGCGCCCGGCACTACACCAGCCTGGACGCTCCCACTGCGCTGGGTTTGTGGGGTCACACTGCGGCTTGGCTGAGGTACAGCTCCATTCATGGACGGAGAGCTCCCTATGGCAACCCGATTCTGTTGTGCTGGCTGGGGAACACGCATCATGGGCGAGTATCCTTGAGCCTGGGGAACTTGCATTCCCGGCCCACCACTCATCCCAGCCTGAGGCGACTGGAAATTGGCGTCATGCGAGACCTGGTAGTTAGCCTGAACGCTGCCAATGTTTCCAGCTGCGGCATTCATGGCAACCTGCGACATGCGTTGCTGCTGGAACTGGTGCAGGCGGTCTGTAGCCAATTTGCTGACTTGCTCAGGAGGCATGTTCGGGTTGCTTCGCTGAATCTGGTTCTGCAAGCTGCTGATTGTAGGGATGACTCCGCCAGAGAGCAAATTAGGCTGACCCATTCGAGGTGATGGTGTCGAGACGCCCTGTGGGGTGGTATTGTGGAAGTTCGGGCTTTGCATGCCGCCTCCGGCCTGTAGAGCAGCCATCATAGCTGGATTATTGGGGTTGCCATTGACATTAGGCAGGTTGAGGTTCGGAGAGTGAGAGCCCTGTGACACGAACTGCTGCTGATTGTGAAATTGCTGCTGACTCTGCTGGGGTTGCGTTGGTTGCTGATGAGGATGCGGCGTCGGTTGTTGTCTGGACTGTAGCATCCGCTGTTGTTCTTGGAGTCGGTTGGCTTCCCGAATGACTCGGGCATTATCTGGAGGGGTCTGCATGGGCATCCCAGGACGAGCAGCGACATTGTGTTGCATACCGGGCTGTTGTTGCATCATCTTCACTGCAATCGGATTGGGCGGCATGGCTCCATTAACAGGTGTGCCACCGGGCATGCCCTGCATATGAGGCCGGGCTTGATTGGAACCAACACCAGGTGGCAGCCCCGTCGGCATGCCATTTGGCAATCCGTTGGGAATTCCGTTTGGTGTCTGAGCTGCCATAGCGGGCGCTCCGGGATGTGGCATACCGTTGGGGGTTCGCCCAGGAGCGCTCATCATCTGCTGCTGATTAGGCGCTTGGCCGGCACGTTGAGCGGCCAAGTTTGCCTGCTGATGGGCCGCGGCCTGATGAGCCTGTTGATGGCGTGTTAGCGACCAACCATTCGAGAACGATCCCTTTCTGGCAAGTCCTTACTTTCTGCTGAGCGAACATCTGCTGTCGGTATTGTTCCTGTCTCTCCTGGAGCTTCACCTCTCGCTCATATTTGAGTCGGCTAAATTCGGCAGGCGATGAGATTGGGGGCTTGGGTTGGTTGGCCTCGTTGACCTTCCGCAGCGAGGCTAGATGAGATGCTTGGGGTTGTGATTAGTCTCAGCTAACAAGAGGGACACCCTTCCCTGGATTACTTACCGTGCTGTTGCTTCTGGAGCATGGTTTCCCGTTTCTTGGCTAGTTTGCGCATGGCATCGAGCAGAGCCAGGTGTTTGGAAGATCGTCTCCGGTCTACTCGAACGGGCTGTGTAGTCCTCCGCCGGATCGGGGGCAGTGACTGCGAGTTACTGTTATTGTTGTTACCTTGCGGCTGTTGCGGTTGTGACTGTTGCGGCTGTTGCGGCTGCTGCTGCTGCTGTTGCTGTTGCTGCTGTTGCTGCTGCTGTTGTTGCTGCTGCTGTTGCTGAGCCGCTTGTTGTTGTGCCATTATGGTGCGCTGTGCTGATTCAAGCCTTTGGTGGTAGGCACGGAAGTATTGGGTTTTGGACATATCGGCAGGCAATCCTTCTAAACCTATCCAGCGCTCGAAGCATTCCCAAGGTGTCCGTCTTTCCGCCCCTGATGTGAATTGCGAGGACGGTGTTAGGCAATTCGAAATCAGTGACCAATTGTAGGAGTATTCTTTCACAAGGCGACGAAGCTCATCGTCCTCGGTATAGGTCCATTGAGAAGACTGTCTTGACTCGAAGAAACCGACCGAAGGCATAGGATGCTCGGTAGGGGGTCGAAAGGAATGGCCGGGGTGGATTCTATCGCGGATGTGCCTGTTCTCCAAGCGGAAGAGCGCGACATTTGTCTGCTCAGGAGGAAGGTCCACTGCACCAGTATCGAGATCAGATCGATACTGGGAATAATCGTATCGACTACGCTTTCGAGCAGGTTCATCGTCGTGGAACGTAACCTTACCAAGCGCGTACTTGGATACAGGAAGGATTTCGGTTTTCCACACCGTGTCAGGAGACTCTTTGAAGACTGGTAGATCTAGTTCAGGCGTGACCGTGATGGGAGAATAGATGGGCAGCTCTTCCAGAAGCTTCTGCGCCGCAGGGGTCATGTCCAACGAGAACGTGAACTCGTCTGTACCTAGGGAGAATATTGCTGCTGGAGCGACCGTATCACCCACAAGAAGACGAGGCTCATCATTGAACCCTTCGCTTGCGGAATCTTCTTCAGTGGAAGGAACCAGGTCTGGGGTAGGTTGAGAAACAATCATCATCTCGTCCACCGTGTCTTCTTCAGGCGGTGAAATTAAGCTGGACTTGTTCTCAACTTCCTCGGCCTTGTTTGCGGGAGGAATCTTTGCCTGGATGCGAAGCAGTGAACGGTGCTCTGCATCACTATTGACAAATTCTGCACACCAGTCTGCGCAACTCTTCGCTGCGGCGATCTTCCATTTGCGCTCCTCTCGAAAATCTGTACGCATCCACTTCACATGATCCAGAAGCACATCCCAATGACTCCCTTCCCGTGGAGGTTCAACCGAACGCTTCAGCTGACGCAAGGGCCACCTGTTCGCATTCTGCAGAGAATAGATCCGGCGCAATGTGCGGCAGTCCATCTGCTCTTGATACTCAAGCAGGTGATTTGACGTCGTCAAAGTCTTATGAGCAGAAGCGATGAGTGTGCTGAGACTTGTCCCACGGGGAGGAGTGTATGCTCGGCTTTGGAACAGAGTAAAGAGGTAGTCTTGCTCTTCATTGAGCTTCCCGATGTCGCCAGCATGCTGCCTGATAATCTCCATCGAATCGCTCTTCTCCTGAGACTGTTGCTGCTGCTGCTGTTTGGGAAAGACCACGGTAGACAACTTGGTTCTCTCCTTCTCCCGTGCTTTACGATCTTTGAATCGCATCCTCGCCGTGGAGTCAGGAGTTGCCTCAGCTACGGCCTTTGTCGCATCTGTGGATTTCTCGACTGAGCTTTGCCTATCAGACTGAGGTGATGACTTAGGTGACTCTCCGAGGATTTCAGATACAGATTTATGACGAATGGCTCCAGAAGACACCCTGGTTGTCATCCTTTCAACCGTCGGTGTTGCACTGACTGGCGGTGATGGCTTTTTGGCTGGGGTCGTTTCTTTCGGGATCTTGACGCCTACTCCAGCTTGAGCCTGATCTTTAGCAGCAAGCTGGGGCTCAGTGGGATGTCCAACCACAACACGCGATGTCTTCTGCTCTGCTGGCACTGTTGGAGACGATATACGAGCGATCGTTGGTGACTTTTCAGTGGTGACAGGAGTTGGTGCGGCACTTTCTTCAATAACTACGCTCGTCGTGGTGCCTTCGACCGCACTCTCGGCGAAGGATTTGCTTGCAGCAAGGGTCTGCTTGAGCGACTGCGCCTCCTCGAAACGCAGTTGTTCGTCGGGCGTCGATGGTACCAGAGTAGAAAGAGTCTTAGTGATTTCTTCATCCTTAGGGCTCGCAAGTCTCGGAACAGCGTCGTTGACTTCCTCAGCAGGGCTTGTAGCTGGCGACACGGTGACCGGCAAAGGAGTATTGTTTGAGTATAGGCCGGCTGAAGATACAGGAGAGAGGGGTTGCTCTGGAACTTTGGGGATGGATCCGAAAGAGAGAGACGGCCGTGCATCATTCTTTTTCTGGACTGGCACCACAGTAGGTGTTGCAGGTGGTGGCACGGCACTTGGTTGCTTCTGGTCCAACCTAACCTCAGCCGCCGCCAATGCTGTATCCTGATCACTGGCATGCTTTCCTTGCGTCGCAGTATGTGTCCTTTGATCTATCGTCGGTGATGGTACTGCCGGCGCAAGCTTCCTGGGTTGGGAAGATGCTTCCTGGCTCTGGGGCCTGGTGAAAGAGACGTCAGGCGCAACCTGAGCAGGGGCTGGCGGTTGAGCTGCGGGTTGCTGTTGATTCTGTGTTGGCAGCTGCTGGGATATTGGACGTTGCTCTCCGGTATTTGGCTTAATCGGCGCGGCAGCATTCTCTGTTGTCATTGGCGGACTGTCGAGTGTAGCGTCGTGAGTCCGTGGAGCAGGTGCGACTGCCGGTAGTGGCACGGGCGCTGCTGTAGCGGTGGACTTCCTGCCATCCTGCGATAGGATTGCTGCATAGTCTGGTAGTTTTGGAAGAGTGGTTTCATCAAAGTATCGGCCTCTGTTGAGGGTTAGTGTGTAGGTCTTGGTGCCTAGTTATTTGCACATTCAAGAGCCTTCATGGCTACCATGAAGGGAAATGACAATTCTGATAGAACGATGGGCATAAGATGGAGGTGGTATAATTGTAAAAACAGCATTGGGTGACAGTAGGGCAGAGTAAGAATTAGATTACCTGGTAAGATCGTTGGCATCAAGAAACGCCTGTTCTTTGTGATGGTATAGCGAGTCCGCCGGAGCGTTCCCGGTCGCGCCCGCGAAGCCTACGGTCGCAAAGTAGAGCTCGCTCAGTTTGCGCTTCCGCGACGACAAACAACGTCTAAGAAATTCCAAATGAGCGATAAATCCCAGTCGCAGGGCCAGCAGGAATAGAAATACTGCTTGCAAGCGATAAATGGGGGTAAAATCAAATACGTACGCGATCTCATCTTTCTTAGACCGGAGAAGCTCGTCACGGAGCATGGAGTCTATTTCGGGGAACACAGCATCCGATTAACGCGCTAAAATTAAGGGAAACCAATTGAGCGAAGTCATCCAGATGGAAAAAATCGCTCAGAAAGGATGAAAAGGGTGGTTGTGGTGAGGGAAGATGATGCCAAAGATACGACGCGAAGATTTCACCGCGGAAGGGATTTTTGGGGTTCCTGGGGGGGTGTGGTGTATGGTGGGAGAGTGAGTATTAGTGTAGGTGGTGGTGGTGAGGACTTCTGAGCCGGGTACGGTACGGGGAGGGAGGACTGAGGGAGGAGGGAGGAACTGTGTTCAGAGGGAGTTCTGGTATGTATGGAAGGGGAGGAAAAGGAAGAGAAGGGACTGGTTGAAAGACGGTTACTACCACTGCAGTGAGTGAGTGAGTGCCGCGAACAGCAGCAAATTCAATTTGATTTCACATAAGATACGATACAGTACGAATAAATTACCGGTATCTTACCATACACAGTTACTCTGGGTGACAACGGAATGGACATGGTGGTGCGTGGTAGTTCCCTCCAAAGCCGTGGTCATTGAACCCCCTTACTAATGTGCTGCAGGTTTATCACGAGCTTTACTTTCTTCAGTAACACTGTCCTATTCCGGACTAGTACTATTCAATGTAGGTCTGTTTACTTCCACGGACGTGGTTGCTTTCACTTCCATTATTTATCGAAGAACTACCTATTATTGTAGTTGGCGATAGCAACTGGATATAAATTTAACCTACTCTATGATAGCTGGTATACCTGGTGAGCTCCTTCTTGATGTGTAACAATTTGAATCCTTCTATTGCATTAGCAGCAGCAGTATAGTATATTAGGGCAACAACCTCAACATCCCTTCTTCGGAGCTGCAGTGTCCCAGTTTATGGTAACTATAGAATTCCACGTAACAGACCAGACAGTCATGCGAGGATTCCTAACAACTTACAGTAATATTATCGGTGCCTGTCTTAGAAATGTCACTGATACTCTGGAATACGCGACATAAATCATCGTTTAGGGCTGATGAATTGGGACTGTGTTTAATTTAGGGCAGTGAAGGTGGTAGACATCTCTTTATCTGCACAACCATCGAGGTAAACTCTACTGCAGCATGCATATCAACTCAGTACGCACATCTGCCGGTACCTTGATATCTGTCTATTCCTTGGGCGCTACTGCAACGAGGACTTACTACAGAGCGGTTCGTATGCAATACTAGGACCTGAGATTGCAGTACTCTCCACAGTCAAAGCACTGAAGCCAAAGTCCTACTCGTTCTCAAGGCCATTTATCTCAATGGTCAAACCTCGGCCTCTCAAGTCGGACGTTGTTCGTTAAGAAAGGTCATGGGTGGATTCGGCGCAGATTGAGACATCTGGGTAAGGCATTCTGAACACTGCTCCACATAAAGACGGACATTTAGTGAGCCACGCGCTGAATATATATCATAGATAATCGCACTGGACCTTTACAATGACCAGTCCCTTCTTGATGCTTTCTGGGTACACCTTAAGTTGATGTCAACAAGCCAGTATCACGTCAGGCCCTGCCAATGGGTATAAATCAATATCGTACGTGGCAGGTATGAGCGTCTTTTGAGTCTAATCAGACATACCATACTGGAGCAGGATATAAGGCACGTCGCCGCGCGAGATCCTGCAATACATAGGGGTCTTTTTCTGAGTTAAATAAGTAAACCTTCTGAACTGTTTTGAGTTGCTGCCATTCTGTCCCCTTATAGAGTCGAACAGCCATGAGATCGAACAGTGTATGGCCAACAAGTTTGTCTGCGAACCGGTTCGATTGCACTCGGCTCTTAAATTCTATATCTGTAGCTCAGAACTTGTATACTGATGATCATCTCCATCAACCTGGAACGTCGTGTTGGAGGATGAGTCATAAAGCATGCAGGCGAGATTTGGAATACCGGAGACGGTTTCATTATCGAGACATTCTAATGGTAATTTGGGCAGCAGAAGACAGAAAATCAGGAGACAGAAGGCTTATATATATATAGCGCGAGAATCAGCTGCATTACAAGAATTCATTGTAGTAGGCTTCTAAAATAACTCCATATTATTTGTACTATGGGACCATCGATCAAATTCAAGATCACCCTGTAGAACATTCCTCATACATACATAGTTCAAGCCTGACGTTCTGACTTGAGTGATGGCACTTTCTCTGGACGATGCCGTGTATATATATCAGTGTGTGGTTCCCAGTATGCTTATGACCATCAATCGTAGTGCATAAGTCTTTGCAGAATTAGCTACTTGGGTTATTCCAGCAGCTTAGATTCCTTAGTATAGCGTTAGTGATGGGACAGTGTACGGAGTACACCGATATGATAACGGGCATAGGTGGTATCGGTGCAAGTCAAACTCCCTGATAAGGTAGCCATGCTTTCAAGATTCACACCTGGCACAGGAGTGAAAGGAGTCCCTTTTGTGCCGAGCGTAGGAATCAGCCAGCCTGTTCTGCTGCTTCCAAATTGCCTAGGGTGTGATGAAATTGCCAGTATATAGACGCCAGAAGACGAACGACAATCCACTCTCACTTAAGGCCACTCGATGGCCAAAACAAAGCAGGTATCATCGATGTTTCGACTATCGATGCTGTCTAGGCCACACACAATTGTCTCAGTTCGTGGCAGGTGTAGTTACTGTGTCGGACTCCTAATCCGACGGTTGTGGGCGAGCCCCATGTGGATAGGTTCCAAGTATGCAGCGTGCATACTGATCGGACTTATACCTATCGTCTTCTTTGAGATTATCATGATGCTTTGAGCAATAAAATGCCATTTGTATGGTGGGATGTATGCTGTAGTCACTGACAACGCCTGCTACCATGAATAGGGAGATGTCTAGGGCTTCCACCTCGACGATTCTCTAGGCGGTCTAACATCAGGCATTTGAAGAAGCTACCGCATTCAGCAAGTAAGCACAACACCGAAACCTGACCATGGCGGCGTGGGTAAACCTAAACTCACCGCCCAGGTTCACCGCTGATAACGCCTGGCAGAAAAAAAAGTTGCCCACGTTCTGATCGAGCTCAGAAAGTCCATCCAAATATTCCCACATTTTCTCATTCCAAGCTAATACATTAGCCATCAGTCATTATGGTCAAACGCAAGAGAGAAGAAACGGCCAAAGACCGACAGGGCCTCAAGCAGGCAACCAAGGTCGCCAAATCAACCACCAGCGAAGAGACTCCTGCGGCCATCACTACCGACTTCCCGGCGGTCACTCTGCAGATAATCACCGGCTCATACGAACGAGTGTTGCATGGCTTCACTGCTGCTGTTTCTCCTGAAGCTCTCGCGAAACCCTCCGATACCGCCATTGAAACCTCCAACGATTCTGAATTGGTCCAATTTGTGGACAACTTTCTCTTCGAGGCTCACACCTCCGCAATTCGATGCCTTGCACTGTCCCCGTTGCCCAAGGCAGATTCCAACGAAGCCCCCCAAGTGATCCTGGCGACTGGTGCTACTGATGAGCGTGTCAACCTCTACTCGTTATCTGCTGCTCCTGTGGCTGTCAATGAAGAGTATCCTACTGTTCCGACTCTCGCCGGCAACAAAATTCTCGAAAACCCCAAGAACCGCGAATTGGGTTCATTGATGCATCACTCCGCCCCTATCTCAGCCCTTTGCTTCCCCTCACGCTCAAAGATCTTGGTCGGGGCCGAAGACAACACCATCTCGGTCACCAAAACTCGTGACTTTACCGTCGTTTCGACCATCAAAGCTCCGCACCCCAAAGTTCAGGGCCGCCCAAGCGGTGACACGGCTCCTCCCGGTGGCTCCCCTTCTGGAATCAACGACTTCGCCGTGCATCCTAGCATGAAGCTCATGCTAAGTGTTGGTAAGGGAGAGAAATGCATGAGATTGTGGAATCTAGTCACTGGCAAGAAAGCTGGAGTCTTGAGTTTCAACCGGGAGATTCTACAAAGCGTCAAGGAAGGAAAGTACAGCACCGGTGAAGGAAGGCGAATTGTGTGGAACTCCAAGGGAGATGAATTTGCTGTGGCCTTTGAATGGGGCGCTGTCGTCTTTGGCATCGTAAGTCGACAATTATGCTCTTGTTTATTTGTTGGCATCAAAACTGATTAACCCGGGCAGGACTCGACTCCCATCTGCAGAGTGTTCCCTAACCCTCGCAGTAAAATCCACCAGATGACATACGTCAGCTCTGACCCCTCTTCAGAGGATAGTGATGAACTGCTTGCTGTCTCGACTGAAGACGGCAGAGTCATCTTTTATTCCACCAAACAAATCGAGAGCGCACCGGAGGGTGATGAATCTCCTATTCCATTTGCTAGGGTCGTCGCCCAGCTCGGCGGTAGGGCGCATGGCTTTCCCGGCAGAGTCAAGGACTTCGAGGTCCTCAGCCTGAAGGATCAGCCTGGGCCCAACAAGGGCGACTACTTGGTTGTTACCGCCAATAGCGAAGGCCTGATCCGCGTATGGCTGCTGCGTGGCTCTGAATTGGTAGCAAAAAAGAAGAAGGGTGACAAGAAGAAGAGTTCTGATTCTAAGGAGGAGAAGGCTCCTGAAGTCAACCAGGTTGGCCGACTCTTGAACACTTACGCTACAGGGAACCGGATCACTTGCCTGAAAGCATTCGTGATGTTGACGGCGGAGGACTCGTCCGACCTCGAGTTCGATGACGAAGAATCCGAGGATGCTGAAGAAGTCAGCGAGGAGGAATCTGATAGCGAAGCCAGCGATGATGAGTAGCATCGGAATTAAAACCTATATACCCCTCTGTCGTTGTTAGGAAGAAAAGTAGTGTGGATTATTGAATTGCAGCCGTGGGATAATGATGTTATGTTTTTTGCATGGTAGTGTTCATGTATAAAAACCCCAGGCATAAGTATTATGAATCCTGCCTTTCATTGTGATGGTTCAAGTGCCCAATGCCACTGAGTACTAGGTAGCTATTGTTCTTGTGCGATGAGTCAATCGACAACCCGCTGGCCAACTGGTTAACTACAAGCACTGTAGGTGTAGTAAATCCTGCCGCTGCCCACCGCCCACTCGCTCTCCACTGCACAAACCCGAACCCCACTGGCTCAAACCGTATCATATCGCCTCTCCGTTCCCAAGCAGCAATTTTCATCCGACCAGACGACCCTCGATATTCGCCCCTCCTACCCACCCCCCTCGTCAACCCACCCTTTCCTACCTACCCCGTTGTCGTCTCCTGGTCAACACCGCAATCATGGCTACCAACGGCGATTACACAGACGATGAATCCCAGCCTGGATCCCCCATGCTCGATGCGAACGGTCACGATGACATCGAAGATCAGGAGCCCCTCGACCTGGAGGAGAAGCCCTTGAAGTCTGCGATTAAGAACTCTGGAGTGCCCTCCCTCCCCCAGCCTAAGCGGCCAGAGCTGCCCGAGCAGCCCAACCCAGAGACCCTCGACCTGTCCACACTCACCCCTCTGACGCCCGAAATTATTGCGCGCCAGGCCACGATCAACATCGGTACCATCGGTCACGTCGCTCACGGAAAGTCGACGGTTGTCAAGGCCATTTCCGAGGTTCAGACTGTCCGTTTCAAGAACGAATTGGAGCGAAACATTACCATCAAGCTGGGTTATGCCAACGCCAAGATCTACAAGTGCGACAACCCCGAGTGTCCCAGACCGACTTGCTTCAAGAGTTTCAAGAGCGAGAAGGAGATCGACCCGCCTTGTGAGAGAGATGGATGTTCCGGTCGCTACAGACTATTGAGACATGTTTCGTATGTTTCCGTCACCCGGTTCCTTGGAGCCAACAAGCCCCGCCGCTAACAGATGACCCTCTCTGCTGTAGGTTCGTTGACTGCCCCGGTCACGATATTCTGATGAGTACTATGCTTTCAGGTGCCGCTGTCATGGACGCTGCCCTTCTTTTGATCGCCGGAAACGAAACCTGCCCCCAGCCTCAGACTTCGGAGCACTTGGCAGCTATTGAGATCATGAAGCTCAGCCACATTATCATCCTGCAAAATAAGGTGGATCTCATGAGAGAGGATGGAGCTCTGCAACACTACCAGTCGATCCTGAAGTTTATCCGCGGTACCGTCGCCGATGGATCTCCCATCATCCCCATCTCCGCTCAGCTGAAGTACAACATCGACGCTGTCAACGAGTACCTGGTTTCGCACATCCCGGTCCCTGTCCGTGATTTCACTGCTTCCCCTCACATGATCGTCATTCGGTCCTTCGATGTGAACAAGCCCGGTGCTGAGATTGAGGAGCTGAAGGGTGGTGTTGCCGGTGGTTCGATCCTCACTGGTGTCCTGAAGCTGAACGACGAAATTGAGATTCGTCCTGGTCTCGTTACTAAGGACGAGAACGGCAAGATCCAGTGCCGGCCCATCTTCTCCCGGGTTATGTCCCTCTTCGCTGAGCACAACGACCTCAAGTTTGCCGTGCCTGGTGGTTTGATCGGTGTCGGTACCCGTGTCGACCCTACTCTGTGCCGTGCTGATCGTCTCGTTGGTTTCGTTCTGGGTCACCGTGGACGCCTTCCTGCCATTTACACCGAGTTGGAGGTCAACTACTTCTTGCTCCGTCGCCTGTTGGGTGTCAAGACCGCCGATGGCAAGCAAGCCAAGGTTGCCAAATTGACCAAGAACGAGGTTCTCATGGTTAACATCGGTTCCACGGCCACTGGTGCCAAGGTCGTGGGTGTGAAGGCCGATGCCGCCAAGCTCAGCTTGACCAGCCCCGCCTGTACTGAAATTGGCGAGAAGATCGCCATCAGCCGCAGAATCGAGAAGCACTGGCGTCTGATCGGATGGGCCAACATTGTCGCGTAAGTTTTCCCTTCTCTCTCTGTGCTCACGATCCTCAGACTAACTTTGAACCAGCGGTAACACTCTTGAGCCTGTCCTGAACTAAAACAAGCTATTGGTAGCTTGAAGAGTCTCAACTTGGTCCAACCAGGAAATGGTTGACGAAGACATTGTAGTCTAGTTGATAACTAGCCTTGATGGACTGAGTCTACTCTGAAATAGAAGGGTTTACGGTAATGAAAGCGCGTGTCGGGTTGATTCCCTGAATAGAGAACGCAGTAAGTCCAATCTTCGCCTATCTCACCTGCTGGGGAGCACGGGGGAGATTTTCCCAAACTCCCGCCGGCCCATCCAGAGGTCTGCAGAGATAAAGAGGCCATGCATGCAGCAGGATGGATAGGCAGATTGGAGGCTGAAGTAGCATGGCTGGAGTTGGTGCGCGACGGCTACTTCTTTTGACGTGTGTTATGACGCTATTCTGTGGAAGTCTTTTTCTTCATCTCTTTTTTCTGTTCATTCTTATTGTTCGGTCCAAGATACATGGCCTCTTTTTTTGTAGATGCTGTATAGGGGGATGATGAATGCAACGAAACAAAAGTTAAGAACTTTGCTTAATGATGTTATTGTGCATAATGGTCTTCATAGTCTGGGCCAAGTCGCATTTGGTAAATCTGCATGTAGGTTGGAATATATTTCAATATTTGTAGGTTATTTTTTGGTTACTCACCAGGCAGAGACCCTGTCGCTTACTCATTGTCCGTGTTGACAGCCTGTCTTGTTCTTTATTGCACCCCAAAATAGTGACAGTAATGTTACATGCAGTGCAGTGAAACACATCCGCGGTTGATTAAGGCTGCAAGGCAGCCACCTACCAGGTCGCCAGCTACTTCTTACTCCATCACGTCCCCCCTCCGCGGCATCCTTCCTCACCACCTCATAGTTCGAGGAAACAGCCCACTTCGCAGCAGGTTCTATCTCGGATTCTTGCTGTGCTGCGGACTCTACCATGTATATTCTCGAGGTAAGAATCGCTGTTTAGAAACAATATTCTTTTCCTTTTTCCTTGTCAATTGAAAGAAGCGTCAGCTAACGCGGCTTACCGTGTCCCGAATAGCAATTGGCGCGTCTGCTCGACCGCCCATTCTTCCCTTGGAAGAATGTCCTCGTTGGATTCTCTCTTGGACAGTTTGTGCTAGAAGGACTCTTGTCTTTCCGTCAGTACAAGGTCTTGCAGCGGACGAAGCCTCCCCAGGTTTTGGAGGGCGAGGTGTCGCAGAAGGTTTATGATCAGAGTCAGGTATACATCCATTCTACCTCCCTTAACGCGAGAGTTTACTGACGAGCGTCAACTCTTTCGGTAGGCTTATGGTCGCGCCAAAGCCAAGTTCGGTTTCTTTGCAGGTCTTTACGGTCAGATTCAGAATCTCGCGTTCATCTACGGCGATGTCCTCCCCAAGCTTTGGGGTGTTAGTGGTCTCTTGTTGGCACGGTATCTTCCAGCTCGGTTCCAGGGTGAAATCGCCCAGACACTCCTATTTCTCTTCGGTTTCAACTTGATCAGCACGGTTCTGTCTATCCCGGTTTCATACTACAATACCTTCGTGCTTGAGGAGAAGTTTGGTTTCAACAAACAGACCGTCAAGCTCTGGGTCACGGACATGCTCAAGGGTCAAATGCTGGGTATCGTGCTAGGAACTCCAATCATCAGTGCTGTTCTCAAGATCATTCAGAAGACTGGCAACTCATTCTTCTACTACCTCTGGATCTTCGGTATCTTCATTCAGGTTTTCGCCATCACCATCTACCCCATCGTTATCCTTCCTCTGTTCAACAAGCTGTCGCCCCTGGAGCCAGGCCAGATCAAGACGGGTGTTGAGAACCTTGCCAAGAAACTCGAATTCCCTCTGAAGGAGCTGCATGTCATTGACGGCAGCAAGCGCAGTGCTCACAGCAACGCCTACTTTTACGGACTTCCCTGGAAGAAGCACATCGTCATTTATGATACTTTGATCGAAAAGAGCGAGCCTGAAGAGGTGGTCGCCGTGCTCAGTCATGAACTCGGCCACTGGAGCTTGAGCCACACTACCAAGCTGTTTGGTATCGCCCAGGTACGTTCCTCAAATTCCTGCTTTCTCGAACTATTACAGGAGATGGGCTAATGCCAGGATAATAGTTCCACATGTTCTACATCTTCGCGCTGTTTTCCGCTTTCGTGAACAACAAGTCCCTGTATCAGTCATTTGGCTTCCACAGCCAGCAGCCCATTATGATCGGATTCCTCTTGTTCTCCGACGCCCTCGCTCCCATGGACGCTGTCGTCAAGCTGTTGATGAACATTCTCAGCCGCAAGTTCGAGTTCGAGGCTGGTACGTGTTCATCCCTCACGTTATCCACTTTGCTATATTTTGACTGAAACTGACAAATCACAGACGCCTTCGCTGTTGGGCTCGGATACTCTGAGGAACTAGCACAGTCTCTTCTCAAGCTCCAGATCCAGAACCTCAGCACCATGGATGCTGACTGGATGTACGCAAGCTACCACTACTCTCACCCTATTCTCTCGGAACGCCTCAAGGCGCTCGGCTGGAAGGGCGGAAAGGTCACCAACCTCAAGGAGGAAGACAGCGAGAAACCGGTCAAGGCCGCGGATCGCGAGCTGTGAGGCCCTCCACTTCATGTTGAGATCTTTGGCAAAGCTTAGCCTCCTGTTCTGCAGTTCGTGGAGTACGGGGGCTGTCAAGCACTTGGGTACATGACATTGTAATTGACGATTTGTTGGAATGGTATAGTGAATTCAAAGAACTTAACCAAAGAAGTAAGAAAACAAACCAATGACAACCTCCTATGTATATTCGCCTTTAATGCGCCCAATGCTGTATGCATATCTAAGTTGAACCCCGAATCGATAAAAGCGAGTCCCCGTCAAAAAAATAAAAGCCGATGCAGACCATGATCAATCGTACCAACAGCAGGGATATTGTTGCGATACTTCATCCGGTCTTCAAGCATCGGCGTCGGCCTTGGCCTTGGCCCGTTTCTCCGCCAACCTGCGCTCCTTCTTCAGGCGCTTCCTCTCTTCCTTGTCGATGGCCCCAGACGCCGGGTCCTCTTGATCTTGCTCCATGTTGACATCTGCGTCCATGGGGTCTTGCGAGCCCTCCAGGGCCTCACCCTCTTGTTGGAACTTCTGGGCATCTTCCCAATCTTGGCCCTGCTCCGCCTCGGTGGTCTGCTGCGCATCGCCATCCTCTCCGGCCATGAGCTTCGCCAAGGTCAGATCCCGACCCAGGACCTCGCCCGCCAGACCGGCCTGCACGCGTTTCAGATTGTGCAGCATCAGGTTGGGGGCGGCGGCCGTGGTGCGCGACAAAGGGCCATGTTCACTGATTCCGGCGTTGGGTTGGAGAGCGGGGTCCGTCGCGGCACGGTCGAGGTAAGCAGCGAGGAAGTCGTGGGCAGCCGACTGGGAGATCGGTCTGGATGAGATGATGGTTGTCGGGGGGAGAGCCGAGGGACCTTGGGCGGCCATTGTGATCGAGAGAGGTTTGCTTCGTTGCGAAGTGTTCAGCGGTAGTGTGCAACTTTTTGTAGTGTTTTTTCTTTTTTTCCCCCGGGGAAGCAGGGTATAGAAAGTCGACAATGGCGGGCGTTCAAAGTTTGTCCGTAGTTCTTGGTGATCAGTATTTTGCGGCAGAGATTGCGCCTGAAGGTAATTGGTGTTTATGCGTGTAAGTGTCTATGCCGACCAAACGGGAAATCGAATCTGGAGAAATGGAGATGCGGCGACAGACCGCGGGCGGGCAGAAAAAAAGTTGGTGGTGTAAAGGTCGGAGAGGGTCCGTGCGTTGGTGTTCAATTTTCGTCCTCCGTCACTCTCACTTGCTCAACTCACTCAACTTCACTCTCCCTCCCTCCACTTACGATCCTCCTGTCGGTGACCCGGTTGTTTGCTCGATCGCCGTCTCTCCTGGCCTCAATTCCATCAGTGCAATCCGACGCCATGATCTGCTTCCAGTGCCGGGCCGTGCCCGCCACTCTCCGGTCCTCCATGACCGCGGCCACCAGGTACGTGGTTGCTTGCGATGCCCTTCCAATTCCACCACCACCACCACCACCACCACCTAGTTTCCGCCAATATATCACCAACCTATCCCCCCTTCCCCCTCCCTTCTCTCTCGACATCCAAGTCCTCAGAGTCAACCCGAAAGGATTCGCAAAACCCCCGAAGAGCACCACCTTTCCGCTGCTCCCCGAGTCTCCAAAGGCTAACCCCGTCGTGAATTCTAGAATCCCCATCTCCGCACACGCCGCCGCCGCTGCCCGCGCATCAACAGCAAGAGCCACCACCACCACCACCACCACCACCACTACCACCTCAATCCGCACCCTCATCACCTCCTCATCCGTCATCTCTCCCCTTCGCGCACAGCTCTCCCACCAACCACGAACCCCCTCCACCATCCTCTCCTCAACCTCCGCATTCCTCCCCTCCTCCTCCATCACATCTCCCACCACAGCCGCTGCTGCTCTGCAACAATCCCGATCCTTCTCCGCCAGCGCCTGCTTGCTCGGAAAGCGGTCAACCTACAACCCCTCACGACGGGTGCAGAAGCGGCGCCACGGGTTCCTGTCCCGGGTCAAGACCCGGACTGGACGGATGATCATTCAGCGGAGAAAGGCCCGCGGCCGGAAGAACCTGAGTTGGTAGATTTTCGGTTCTGTCATCCTGAGGGGGAGGGAGACGGTGGTGGCTTGTTTCCGTCCCAAGTGAACCTTTTTTTGCGCCAATGGGTCGTGCGTGTATCTCGCTGAGGGGATTCGCCCGTCTTTTCTTCTGTTCTTCTGTTGTGTTGTGTTGTGCTGTGCTGCATGTTCTTTGGAAGGCTTACTCGAATTGGATTTCGCGGGGGCTCTTGTTACGAGAGGGTATATGGGTTTTCGATGGGATGGGTAGCCCGTGGGTGGAAGATCTCAGTTAGGAATGCATTGTCGTGCTTCCTCTTAGACAGGAGTATGTTCACTGCGGTGCTCAGCTGCGGTTGGGTGAGGAGAGTGGGTTTGTCGACGGGTGGCTGATGGTCTCGATTGAGATATGATGGTTGTATCTTACCACCTTTTTATTTTTATATTTCCTATTTTGTACCATATACATACACACATCTTTGGCATGGATTCTTACATGTGCGATTGAACCCGGAGGGTTCGTGTTTGTGTTGAGACCTGGCTGGCTGTCTTGGCTTTTACGTGTAGCTTGAAGGTTGAATGATGAGGGAATGGTAGGTTAAGATGATAGGCGTAAGTGTAAACTATTGTTCTGCACCGACAAAAGACAACAGGGTCTCCAGCGCCGGGGAGCTTGTTTGGACCTATACAGCACTGCTGGCAGTCTAGCATTGGAGAAAGTTATTTACATATATATCTGTACGTCTCTCTTTGAAGAGATGTAATCATGCTCGTTTCATAGCCTAGCAAGACTGCTTTCTAGTCTGATTTATTGCCGCGTGTCGTCTAAGCGTTCAGGTACTGTAGTATACCGTGTGGTTCTACTTCGGGTTCATAACGTTCACCAAGACGAAAAGGATCACTCTTCATCGTCATCCTCGGAGCCGGATTCTTCCTCCTCGTCATCCTCGTCTTCGGAGCCGGATTCCGAGTCGTCGTCATCATCGGAATCCTCGTCATCCTCTTCCTCCTCCTCGTCATCGTTGTCATCACCGGTCTTGAGTCCGTAATCGTCTTCGAACTCTTTTAGGGCTTGTACCTTGGGCGTGAAGCCCGAAGCTTGTAGGCCTTCTTTGATTGTCTAAATCGATGAGTTAGCCAGGGGTCATCCCAAGAGCTTGAGGAGGGGGTTTCTGGATTGGGATTGACATACTTCCTCCATTACAGTAGCGCACGTGATGACGATGTTGGCCGTCGTAGGGTTGAACAAGGGCAGGATGATCTTTCTCAAAGCACCCTTGACTTCCTCAACAGTAATGGCTCGCACCCGCTTGAGCATGTTCTCCTTGTAGTCACTGGGCAGACGACGGACCACCTGGCGAATGAAGCTGTCCGATGCGGCGTTGGCAATGGTGGCCTGTTCGTTGGCGAAGCTCACGACGATGCTGCTGATCGCACCCTCCATCATCAGGGGATCGAACGCAATGGCACCAGAAAGGTGGTCTTCGACGATCTGCTTGCTGGAGTCGAAGGCCTTGTGGGCATTGGGCGAACGGTACACATCGAAGTTGACGAATCCGGTGTCGATGTTGTACGCGAAGTTCGTACCGTAGGCCAGACCCTTGCCCCGGACGGCAACCCAGAGAGGGCCTTCAACGGCGTTCATGTACGCAATGGCGACCAGCAGGGCAGGCAGGTTCGGGTCGTCGTAAGTGTCCAAGCCTCGCGCCGTGGCGTAAGCAAAGGAGGAATCGATGGTCGGCATAGGCACCACATACGACTTGCCGCCGAGTTGCTGACCAGCCTCACTGAGCAAGGGACGTCTGGCTGTGATGGGGCGAAGGGGAGCAACTGCTCCCAGCCGTTCAGCATATGGCTTCCAAGCCGAGACCGGGTTCTGCAGTTTCTCGAGGTCTGCAATGACCACAACCCGCATGTTCTCGAATCGGAAGAGAGCTTGGCGAATCTCCTCCATGCGTGCAACAACGGTTTCCGGCTCGTCAGCCAACTGCTTCTTGATCCGCTTCAGATAGCGGGCCTTGACCAAAGTGCTGCGGGCACGCACGATAGATTCAGCCGCGTAGTGAACCATGACATGTACTGCCGCCAGCATGTCGTCGCCGCTTCGCTTGGAGTCTGGGACATCGGAGAGAAGGCGTTTGGTGATCGCGCGCAGTCTCTCAACGTCGAAAATCGAGTTCCAAGAAAGCTCCTGAAGCCATGCGACTGCGGTGCTGTACTTCTCCAACTCCACCTGGAAAGAAATTCGCAGCATTTCGGAAGTTCCCAGGCTTCTGGCGCCTTCCATGGAGTAACCAACCGTATCTCTTTCCAATTCAACAACAACCTGTTCAAAATCGATGGTCTTTCCATCACGCTGGATCGGCAGGTTGAAAAACGCTTCCGTGTACACAGATAGAAGAGGGCGAAGTTGCACTGGAACGGCTGCGGCTGAGATAAGTAGGGAGAGTTGAACGAAGCTGCTTGGGATGTGCTCAAAGTGTATGAACAAGGGCAGGTCAGAGCCATCAGCATCCACTAGGCTCTGAGACTTGTTTTCGGGACGACCCAATTTCAGAGCAGTGCCCGACCGCGCAGTTGTCGTTTCGACGAAATGGATGGATTCAACGCCAGGAATCTGGAACTTCTCCAGCATGTCTTTAGGAATTTCTTTGTCGTTCTCGGCCTTAGCTTTTTCAAGCTTGTCTGCGAGCTTCTTCAAGCCATCCTCACCCAGCCGCTTCTTCTGTTCCGCAACCCGGGCTTCTTCCTCCTTTTTGAGTGTCTCAGACATTTTCACAGATGGAACACCCAAGATTGTGACGTGATTGGCGTCAGAAATCCATCTCTTGATGAAGCTGCGCCAATCATCCTCGCTCCACTTCTCCAGCACGTCGTACTCCTTCAGGCTCGCGACATCGAGCATGGTGGACCCGTCCCGTTTTCCAAAGAGGAAGTCAGAGATCACATACTCAGCGAAGGAGGAAGCTGACGTCTCGGTCGAGAACTTCCAAGTCCGCCGTTGTCGGTCGATGCATTCCCTGAGATATTTCATATCGAGTTCTTTCTCCATTGCATCCCTGAGAACCTCGAAGAAACGCTGCTCCACCCGAGCAATCTTCTTCGTTTCGACACTAGTCAAAGTGAAACGGATTTCGATACTGGGGTGGTCCTCGGTGGCA